GAATATACCCCCCCAAACCCTTTTCTATTAACGGTGTAGTTGCGTCACGGGGGAGATGGGAGTTGTGCATGGCCGCGCTTTGCTCTGAAATGCACCTGCGAGAGATCTACTCCCAAATTTCTGTGTACCCTGTACCTAAACCCCCAAAAGTAGGTAAAATAATGGCCCAAAACCCATAAAAAGGCTATTATTGTTCTACATACTTTGGGGGTCCAGGTAGTCTTTTTTGATGCACTCTGCGTTCGCTACTGGTTTCTGGCTTTGTCTTGGGGGGTTTGCCTGGCCAAGCCTTCTGCAGGCTTCTGCCAAGATGCACAAACAGAAAACTTGCGAACAATGCAGAAAAGAAAAGTCACAGGCCCTGAAGGACCAACCTGCGTGATCCGGAGACATGCGCTATTGTTTGGGGTCCACTTTGCTATAATTCAATAATGAGGAGCCCCCCAAAATAGTAGAGGTAACGATGAAGGCCCCTATACATTATGTCTACAATCATCATCATGGTATGATAAAGTCGTATAACAAGGGATGCTATTGCACCAGCACCATGGAGCTGCGGGCCTTGTTGGCCTTCTACGCGCTTAATCTGGTGGGCTTCTGCGGTTCGGAGCTCTTTTTGGGCCCGCTTGCATGGTTGGCCCGCCTCTGGATCGCCTTCTTAGCTTGGTACCTTAGGGGCTGAGTAGGTAACCTTTAGCCTTTTTGGGGCATATATAAACCTATATATACTTCAAAAGGTTAACCTTTTTTGGGCGTAGGTACTCGGCCCCTAAGGTACACATGGGATGCATGGCGCTGCTGGGAGCTCTTCATCCGCCACCGCAGCGACCGGTCACAGAGCAGCAGCCCGTCGAATCGGCGCCGGCCGAACCTTCAGCGCCGCACCTTGGGGACCTAATGACCCTTATAAGTAGGGGCCCTATGCTTTTATACTATGAATCCCTATATGGTATATGAACCTGATACCCTTTTGGGGTTCATTTCGTCTTTAAGGCAGTCGCCTGGACGTGGGACTCCCGAAGGCCGAGGAGGTCCAAGCATCGGCAGGGGAATTGCCTTCATGCTCTGGGCCCTCAAGCCCCCAGAGCAGCGTGGTGCTCAGCGACTCTGGGGGAGTCTCCCCGGAATCTGAGGCATCGACACCAGGCAGCCCACGAAGGCGTCGCCGTGGGTCGGCGAAGCTTGAGCTAAGCCAGGTCTTAAAGCTGAGCGACGAAGTGGCGCTGGACTTGGACATGGACCACATTTACCTGGCGCTGGTGCCGTTCCTTTGGGGGCAGATCTTCATTGGCTTGCCAGCTTGGGCCAACATGCTCTTCGGCGCCAAGGACACACCCGGAGCTTTGCGCTTCGGATTCTGGCAGCTCCTCTACCGACTCGGATACCCAGAGCCCTTGGCGAAGGACCCCCGAAAAACCTGTGCAGAGCTTCTGCTGGAGACAAGCCTGGCAATCTACTTTCAGGAGCAGAGGGTTGGCGGCGATGGCAGGAAGCTGGCCCACTTCAAGATCCCTTCCGTGCCCCACCTCACAGGAGAAGATTTCTGTACGATCCAGCATGAGGACCTGAGCCTGGAGCTGGATTTGGGTGAGAGGCTGCTTTGCACCGCCAGCTACGGCGACCAGCAGATCCGGCCGGACGAGACCATGGTGTTACTGAACCTCGCTGTTAGCATCATGCTGCACCCCATGCTGCATGCCTTCGCCAACTGGTCCACTACTCCGGAGAGCCCAAATGCTTACACAAGGCGCAACTCAATCGTCACCGTCCTCTTCAACTACTACGGCATCAAAGCCTTTGCGCACTGGTGCGACTTCCTTTGCTACTTGGGCCTTGGGAAGGTCAGCGGCCAGACTTTTGCCACTATGGTCCGGTCCGGGATGCGGCAGCATGTGCCGCCGCATGCACAGGTGTCGCTGCTGATGCCGCACAGCCGCCTCGTGAACTTCACTGTTTGCGTTCGCAGCTACTTTCTCAGGAAGTTCCAGAAGTACCAGGGACAGTTCCCTGGCATCGACGGTGAAGCACTTTTCCTGGCCACAGTACTGCATCCCTTGGAACACTTCAACTTGGTGACTCTGCAGAGTGCATATGACATGGTGTGCGCCAACCCCGCCTTTGAGGGAGACCTGCAACTCGTGCGGTCGGCCATCATCATAACTTCAGACGCTAGAACTTTCAGTGTGTACCTTTCTGATGTTTTTTGTTTAACTTTTGGGTTCCGATTCGCGAGTGTAACATAACACCAACATACCCGTGAAAGTGCACACTTGCTTCTAATGGTTTCCTGCACCACCTAGGACAAGCTTTGGCTCAGCCACCTCCTCTACGACTTCAGCTTCCGTAGCTCCTCACACGAGCTGTTTAAGGAGACCTACGAGCATGCCGTACCTGGAGCCGATAAAAAAACATTACCCTTTTATGTTGCTGTCGAGGTGTAGAGTGGAGGGCTTGAGGCATGAGCTTGTAGTTTTTTTAATATATGGCTTTTAACTCTATTTCCTTCAAGAGGTAAAGGTTTGGGGGCCACAGGTACTGATCGATGAGGAGCTCGCAAACGAAATGGAGTGCTGCGTCATGCGCTAGCCCCATAAGCTCGGCGGCCCCTGCACGGTTCTATATGGGATTCAGGGATTAGGGATTTTACCCATAGGGTTTACCTGGACTATGAAGATCCTACCTTTTTTGGGGTTCCTTAATATGAATTCCTTATATAAGTCCCTAAAAAGGTAGGTTATTTGAGGTTAAGGTAGGGTTTAGGGTTTAGGGGGGATTAGGGCTTAGGGGCCATCAGCAAGCCCGCGCCGCACCGTTGGGCATTGACGGTTGCGTGTTTCACACCTGACGAAATATCGTCTCAACATGGGTTTTTATTTAATTTTGCTAGCATTATCGTAGCAGTGATGCCTACATGTCCCGTCGCCGATGGAGGCTCGAATGCTTCCGCTGAGATCAAGGAAGACAGGAGTTGTGAGTTTCCCGTGCCTCCCAAAGAGGCTTTTCCCTCTTCCTGCTTCTGTGTTCCTTCCACTGTAGCATCTCCGGCAGGCTGCCAACATTTTTTTGAGGTCAATATATGTTGTTGGTAGCAAGTATGCGTTGCAGGAACGTCTGCAAAATGGCCACGGCGCGCGTTTGTTGTAATTATAAGGCACTGCACACCGTAGAACCCCAAAACTCAATCCTTAAACTCTACGACCTAAACCCCAAGCCTCAACCTTCCCTACAGTCTCCACTTCCCTACTACAGTCTCCATTGTAGTTCCTCTTTTGGTCTAACCAACTTTATATTGTGGCCCCAAGAAAGACCTACAATGGAGACTTTAGGCAAACTCTATACCGAAAACCTGTTCTTCAGTGCAGACTTTCTGTCAGCCTCGGGTTTGGGGGCATGGAAGGTTTAGAAGAACATCGAGCTTGTAGATGTTTGTGGGTCACAGGGCGCAGGGCTTCTAGAAATAGGTGTAAATCGGGTTTAGGGTCTATAGGGATTCAGGGTTTAAGGTGTGAGGTCTCCTTCTCACCACTTTTCGATTTGGGCTTGTCGGGGAGTTGGAAATTCAATTTGAGGTTGGGGGCGTAGCAAACATCACAGCCTTGAGCCACCTGGTGCTCTTCTTCGCTATGATTGAAATCGCACACAAGCCTACCCGGACCCGAAGGAGCTTAGCCTTTCAGGGCTCCTCATTATGGTTTCCTTGTATAAGTTCTTTGAAAAAGACACAAAAAAGTTAGGTTATTTGGGGTTAAGGTAAGACTTGAACACCAAGCCGTGACTGCCACTCATCTGGCTGCATTCGCGGACTTTGTGACGTAGCCTGGCATGTCGGACATACTCCTGATTCGTTCATACTCATTACACGAACCCTGAGCAGGTTTTCTTAAAGTCTTATTCGAATCTCCTTCTGCAAGTCCTTCAAGAGGTCGGGGTTTTCGGCGTCTATAGACATAGATCCCTTAAGTATCCGTATACATCCCTTGAGAAGGCCTGGGTGCACCCTGAACCAATCGTCTCCCATCGGCACAGGATGGAAGGGGAATCCTTTACCCAAAACCCCTAGGCCCTAAACCCTAAAACCATAAACCCTGAACCCTAAAACCCTAAACCCTGAACCCTAAAATCCTAAAACCCTGAAGCCCTATAAACCCTAAAACCCTAAACCCTGAACCCTAAAACCCTAAAACCCTAAACCCTTGATCCCAAACCTCTAAACCGCGCCAGGACCCCAGAGTGCCCTTCCATACAGCCCAATTTGGTCCTGAATACTGGGTGTTTAGGGTAGAAGCAGAGGGTGAGGGTAGTGGGGGTGTCTGAACAATTCCTGAACTCCCCAAAATTTTGAAGCTAGCACCCAGAAATCCTGAGCCCTGAACTGGGCCCTGAACCCTGCTCCCTAACTCTAGTCTTACCCTAAACCTTACACCCTAAACCCTAAACCTTTAGCCATAAACTCTAAACCCTGAAAACATTGTGCACGCCTCCCCAAAACAGAACAGGCCTTGAACTCGGCATTGGCATCTCTGGGGTCGGCGTTGCGATGGGAGCATCCTGGCAGATTCGGCTACAGGCTTTGCCAGTGAAGGGTCTAGGGCCGATAGGTTTCAGGCGTTAGGGTGTGAAAAGCCGCGGGTCTCTAGAAAGGCTGTCTCTAAGGGCTCACCCATAGGCTCCTAAGTAGTTCCTTTTTATGGTTCATATTTAGAATCCTATAAGGTAACCCCAAAAAGGAACTACTAAGGAGCCTATGGGCAAGGTGACATCGTCAACACCGGAAGATCGCAGAATTCCGTGCCCACAACTCTCAAAACCCACCGTCTGCTAACTTGCACCTACGGTCGAAGCCAGAAAGTTGGCGACTATCTATCTGCCCATCTATCTATCTATCTTTACATCTGTCTATCTGTCTGTCTTTATATATATATATACATATAGATAGATAGATAGATAGATAGGTAGATAGATAGGTGAGAATGGACGAAAAGCTGTCAAGAAAATTAAGGCATTCGTTAGGGAATACCCGTATCCTTGTTATGGGTTTGATGCAGATATAATATGTTAGCTAAAGCCGAGGGGTGGAAGAATACGGGACAGGAATTTAGGGCTTAGGGTCTAGGGTTTGGGGTTTAGGGTGATGTTGAATTAATAAGAAACAGTGGCGAATAAATTGAGAGAATATGTGGCACTCAAGCAATGGAGTATAACACTTTCCTTCGTTGAAATGTTAACTTGTCTAGTTGATGAAAAAGGTAAAGCCAAACTTGAACAAAGTGCAGTATATTGTAGCACGAAACGACAGCTTCACTCAATCTGGGATGGTGTTGGTTCTTGGAAATTCTTGCCCTAAGCAATCATACTACTATTTCCTTTAATGTTATGGTTGGTTACAACATTATGCCTAAATTTTATTCCTATGAAACATATTTTGTTGGAGAGGACCATTCCATGCTCTGGGTTTTCTATCGGGTGGGTCCCTGTATAGGGTTTAGGGTTTAGGGTTTTTAAGGCTTAGGGTCCATACTGCTTCTAGGGTTCAGGGTTTCTGTACGGACATGTTTCAGGCTTTAGGGTCTGCAAGGCTTATAGGGTTCAGGGTTTCTGTGGTGATATACTTTGGGTTGTAGGGTCTATAGGGCTTTTAAGGCCAGGGTTTGTATAGCGACGTATTTGATGTTTTAGGGTTTATAGGGCTTATAGGGCTCAAGGTTGTTATGGTGATATACTTTGGGTTTATAAGGCTCAGGGTTTTTATAACTATCATAAGGACACCTTTTGTTTTTAGGGTGCAACGGGATTACACACGTGCAAATCTTAGCGACGACGTTGCGCAGTTGTCGTTGTTTTTCAACTCCGTTTTTTCTCTTCTTGTTGCATTGCAGCGACAGAGATCGCTATGGGCAGGAAAGGTGCAACCCCCAAACCCAAACCCCTAAATCCTAAACCCTAAACCTTAAACCTTTACCAAAGCCTTATTTAAAGCATTTTTGAACCCAGGAAGCCCGGAGCTTAACATCGATTCTTGAACACCGCAAAGTACTAAGCCCCGCAACTCTGTAAAAACCTTTAAACCCAGTACCAAACCAAAAAAGCAGCTCTCAGGGTTTCGGTTGGAACGTTTTTGGCTAAACCGAGCCCTAAACCCTAAACCCTGATTTAGGGCTTAGGGATGAGAGCTCCTGGTCCTCAAGGATGTCGAGATTACCTTCATTCAGCTCATACCTGGACCCCAAAACAAAAGTATGTAGAATAGTAGCCTTTCGTGGGTTTTGGGCCATTATTTTACCTACTTTTGGGGTTTGGGGGGTTTGGGGTTTAGGAGCTTAGGTTTTGGGGTGTAGGGATGAATGCAGAGAAGAAGCCGAGGCGTGCGCTGCACTGCCTCACGACTCACGAGAAGCTAAGAGAGACTGGCCCTTCATTTCACACATTGGGGGTGTGAGCTACACTGGCTTACGACACCCTGGTTCTTAGTAGGGAATGGGGGAATGGATCCCTATGATAGTCCCTTAAGGTCCCCTGTAGTAGTCCCAATAACCCATTCCCCCATTCCTTCCT